TTTCATTTGTAAATTATCATAACAGTACTAAATCTGCCTGCAGACATTAAGAGAAAGAAAGAGAAAAGTTTTTAAAAGTTAGATGCACATAATCATATTTTAGAGTTTGTCCAATAATGTTTGCATTAAGAAAGTATTATATTGTGTTTTTAAATCATAACAATGATACTGAATTCAATATTCTTTCAACAAAAGTTCCAATGTTTAAGTAAAACAATTTTTTAATATCTCTTGTCCCTATGTCAAACTTAGTAAAGTTTAGCCCTTTAGTTTAGGAAATCATAACATTAAACACAGACAAACAAAATAAATGATCAAAAACAGTATTTATAAATTAGTTTGGGAACATTTTCTAAAAACTAGAAAAAATAATTGTTAAAAGATTCTGCACATCAATTAAACATTGAACTTGGGAAAAGAAAACCTTTTTTCTGAAATCAGTTTTACATTCTACATGCTCAAATGGTTTACATACACAAGATTTATTTAAAAAAAAATAAATGACAAAAAACAATTTCAAAAGAAAACAAAAACTTTCAGATAATTTATTTATTCTGATGAATTTATATTGGAAAAGTTTTAACATTTTTGATCAATAATAAAAATTAGAGAGTTAAATTAAAGAATCATAAAATAACAGGCCTACCTGTGAAGTTGTTGATAAATACAAAGTAATTAGCTAATCCCAATCATTTCTGAAGATATTTAAGATGGTTTGAGAATGTTGGATTCCAAGGTTAAAACAAAATAAAAAAAAAAAAATATAAAGAAAGGAATGGAAAATGAGAGAGAAAGAACAGTAATGTAGGCCCAATATGTTCTGTGTGAATGGTGATAGAATTATCCTGTTGACATGTTGCTTAGCTAATAAGTAGCAGTCATAAAATAGTGACTTTTGAATTGAGCCATTACTATTCCCTCCGGTAGATGCTGACCAATGAAAGCGTGTTTGGTCCTCACTTCCACCTGTAGACCATCCCCCCTGATAGTGTCATTGGAGCATGTTGAAAAGATAAAGAAAAAGAGAGAAGGGTAATTAAAATAAAGAAAGGAGGAAGAGAAGAAGGGACAGTGTAAAAGAGAAAGAAGTGGAGTAAAAGGAGAAGAAAATGAGAAACGAAGGTAAGAAAAGGATGAAAAGAGAGAGAGAGGAGGAAAATGATAAGATAGAGAGAGAGGAGTAAAAACATAAGAAAAAGAGGATATAAAAAGTATAAAATAAGGGTAAGATAAAGATAGGGTGAAGCAGAAAGGGATGAGATAGAGAGAGGAGCAAAGAGATGAGATACAGAGAGGTGGAAAGGGATGAGATACAAAGAGGGGTGGAAAAGAATGAGATACAGAGAGGTGGAAAGAGATGAGAGAGAGAGTTGGAAAAGGATAATATAGAATGGGGAGGAAGTGATAAGAGGAAAAGTGAGAGGGGAGGAAATGATAAAGGAGTAGTGAGAGAAGAGAGAAGGATATGAGAGAGAGAGAGAGATAGGGAAAGGTATATGAGAAAGAGAGGAAGAATGAAAACAAAATAGAAACAAAAGCACAGCTTGTTTGAAACCAAATTCATCAGTTAATGAGGCTGGCTGACTCTGTAGAATTTTTGTCTATTTGTTCATAAATATTAGCATTTGTAATCCATTTAGGGCCCTGACAAGTGAGAGGGGCACATATAAGTGATTGTGTGAAATAATAGACAACCACTATCAAGAGACAATTAGCTACGTGCTATTATGATACTCATCTGAATGCCAGGAGACGGATTACAAAAGCCCACAAGTTTCTTGGAGGTTAGAAAGGAAAAACAAAGAGCAAAATGCATGTCAAAAAACAAAGATAACAGGAAAAAAGGAATATTTTGGTATCCATCCATCTGGGTGGGAGGTACTGCTGTTGAGTTTTTATTTTCTTTTAGACAACATTAACAACCTACATCCTTCAATCAGCTTCCACTTTGGTTTTTATTTTGACTCCAAAAGATCTTTGGTGCTAACAAGAAAATCAAGAATAACTCAACTTAATAATGCTTTATTTTTTGCCAGAAAAAAATCCTGTTTCTTATTGCAGGGAATTTTTTTGTAATGAAAACCTACAACAATCTAAATATAATTTATTTTTTTTAATAGATGGAAACTGAAAAAGGAAAACAGAATTCCTGAATCTCAACCAAAAGTGTTTGTCAAGAAATATGGAGAGATGAAATAATTTTATTGACTAAATACACTATCTAAATTCAGACTATTGTCCTCATTTTTGTTGTTGTTATCACAACACTTTGGCCTTTGTATCCTCGGGCCTTCATTAGGTGTATATCAATGTGGGTAACCTACAGGGAATTCTGAACTGAACCTTTTATTTAATCTGTGAAGGTAGACTGTTTTTGTTCCATTGTCCATGTATAGGGATATTTCATCTAATTCTTATTTTTAGTACTGTAGAGTTATTGGTTGCCCTGTTTCTTCTGAGTCCAAGTACATAGTGCCTGGCTCATGGATTGAACTCACAGTTATTATGTCACCAAATTGACAAAACAACACTTTAATCCACTAAGCTATTCTCCGATAGAATTACATCCCATAATGACAATGCCAATAAAATCTGTACTGATCTTTAAAATGAGGCATTATAATAACTTGTAGGTTTATTAAATAATTAATAATATTAGAAACTAATAAAGATAGTATTCTATATAAACCATTTTGAATCAAAATTGTAAACATCAATTGTTGGCCATTTAGATTAACAAAATTGCAAATTTTTTTAGATTTAATGTATTCTTTTTTATAAAATTTACAAGCAGTTGACATTTAAACAAATATTAGCTTTACAAGTACTCAATTAAATGCTATTTTTGGTGACTTATTTATATTCTAATTATTTGAAAATGATAATTATCCCAAGCTTAATTATTATTGAAATATCACCACTGATATGTCCCTATGGCTGATGGAAATGTGTGCAGACAAGTCAAGGATCATTCCTTGTCTCTTCCTATTATTTTGTTAAGAAAACTCAAGAAAATGTCTGTAATTAACACTTAATAGTCTGGTTTTATCTCCCTTGCACAGACTTTTTGTCAATTTATACATAATTAAAATTTTATTGGAAGCTGGTGGCCCAATTGATGTAGAAATTTCTTTATTCTCCTAATTAGAACATTTTAGCAGTATTTGACTAACAAAATGTGTGCTATGATGTGCTATTTTTCTTGTGTTGTAACAAACACAAACATACAGAAATTGGGTCATTATATTTGGTTGTCCGGGAAGTTAATGCCTATTTTTAGTTGTTCATGTTCCAACACATTAGAATGCTTAAAATTTATTGATAGATATAATATGCTTAGATTTCCAATTAGAGCACTTTTGAAACTATCTTTTGAGAAAGAAAGTTTAAAATGACTTAATTCTTATCAATTTTGCATCGCTATAAAAATAGAAGACACTTTAGACACTTGTTGCTCTTTTCTTTTTTTTTCTTTTTTTACTGTAAAGGCAAAAATGACTCACAAGCAACATAAAAGATATGTGCTGTCTACAGTGAAGGTGCTTTAGCTGAAAGAACTGTACAGAAGTGATTCACTAAGTTTAAAATTGGTGAGTGTAGCTTTATTGATGAATAATAATCAGGCAGAATCCCCCACCCACCCACTACAGATGACGACCAAATCAAAACAACATTGATTGAGAATAACCCACATTACACAACACAGGATTTGACAGAAACACTAAGTTTATCAAAATCCATCATCCATGAAACTTAGTGAAGCTTGGATACTCAAATCATTACAATGTTTGAGTACCACATGATCTGAGTGAAAAGAATCTTTCAGATTGCATTTCATCAATGAATTGCTGTATAAACACAATGAAAATGCACACCTTTTTTAAGCAAATTGCGATGGGTGATGAGAAATGGACCATTTACAACAATGTTCAGCAAAAAAGATCCTGGGGTAAGTGACATAAGCCAATTTTAGCCACCTCAAAAGCAGGTCATCATCCTAAGAAAGTCATGCTGTGTATCTGGTGGGATTGGAAAGGAATCCTGTAATATAAGCTTCTGCCAAGTAACCAGTCAATTGATTCTGAAAAGTACTGCTTGCAACTGGATGAATTAAAGGCAGTAATTCAAGAAAAATGCTCAGTATTGGTGAACAAGAAAGGTATTGTTTTCCATCAAGATAGTACCAGACTTAATGTTACTTTGGCGATCCAGCAAAAATTGTTGCAGCTTGGTTGGGATGTGTTACCCCACCCACCCACCATAGTCACCAAACATTAAACCTCAAGTTTTTTATTTATTCAGCTCCTTGCAAAATAATCTCAATGGTGAAAATTTTAATTATTTGGATGACATAAAAAACACCTTAATGAAATCTTTACCAAGAAACCACAAAAATTCTGAGAAGATGGAATCAAAGTTGAAGGAAAAATGGAAAAAGGCTGTGCAACAAAATGGTTCATATTTTGTGGAATAAATGTTTAATGGCATAATTTTGTTTTGTGTTTTAATTTCCATTAAAAACTGGCATGAACTTTCCAGACAACCCAATAATATAGATAGGACTTTTGAAAAGAAAATAAATCCTTTTATTTAGTTAGGTAAGTTATATTAACAAGCCTCACTTACCTGCCAACAGACCTTGCAGTCTCCAACTGAATGTTATATCACTGACTTATCACTCAATGAAAATAAAATGAGCTTAAAAGAATAATTTACCCAAGTGGAAACAAAAGTTTTTGAATTTTAATTTGTTGGGCAAGAAATCAGAAGAAGTGCTAGAAAGACTATCCAGCTATTTGCTGTTTGAATTTTTCAGATAAATTTCTTGGAAGATGGTTAAAGAAATTTTTTCTCTTCACTTTTATAAAATGATAAAAAATTCATAACCTTGCCAAAAAAATGGATTATCAGGAAAATGATGAAAATCAAAAGTTCCCAATGTAAAGCAGCTGATATCAATGATCAAATGGCATACAGGTTTTTTTTGCTAAATATTAATACTAAATGTATCTGTGAATGAATGTAGAGAGGGATGGAAAGGGAGAAAGGCATAAAGAGAAAGAAAGAAAAATATAAGGAGAAAGATGAGAGAAAGGGATGAAGAGAAAGAAAGTGATAAGGAGAAAATAAGTTAGTAAATAGAGGTAAAAAGAGAAACAAGTAAATGGAGGTAAAAATTGAGAGAGAAAACTGGTATGGAAAAGAGGCAGAAGAGCAAAAGAAAAAGAAAAGGAGAGAAAATGAGCAAAAGAGAGAAAGGAGGGAAGAAAACAAAGATGGTGGATAAAAAAGATAATAGATAAGGAGGCAGGGTGGGAGGAGAGAAGGAATGAGAGAGCAAAAGCAGAGAGGCAACGAGAAGAGTGGAAAAAGAGAGGCAATGAGAAGAGTGGAAAAAGAGAGGCAATGAGAGGAGCAGAAAGAGAGAGGCAATGAGAGGAGCAGAAAGAGAGAGGCAATGAGAGTAGCAGAAAGAGAGAGGCAATGAGAGGAGCAGAAAGAGAGATAGAATGAGAGGAGCAGGAAGAGAGATGAAATGAGAAGAGCAGAGAGAGAGAGAGAATAAGTGGAGCAGAAGGAGGGAAAGTGTAAGTGAGAGGAGTGGAAGGAGAAAGGGAGTGAGAGAGCATGGGTAAAAGTGAGAGGTTCAAAGAGAAAGTGAATGGTAAATACATAATGTTAACAAGAACAATAGAAGAGGAGAGAGTGATCAGCAATTAGACGGATGGCAGGTTCAAGTTGGTTCCGTGTCCAGCTTATCTACTGCTGGCAATAAGAGATGGGATTTATACATCAGTTGAGATCAATACAAAACATTTTTACACTTGTTTTTGGATAGACAAGACCGATTATAATTGGTTCTGGCTAATACATTAGCATATTGTAAATACTGAAACAGGTGCAAAGCTGATATTTATCAAGAATAAAAACAAAACTATAGTGTCAATCAGTTCATATAAATACAAAAATCAATATATTTTTGCTTTTTCTTATAAAATACTTTATTCTATTGGAAAGTTGTTAGATTTTAATCTTACCAATAAAAAAAATGACAAGTTGTCAGGCTTGCTTTCTCAATAAATTTTTATATGAAAAATAATTTTATTCCATTAACCCTCTCATGCCCCAGCTTAATGTTAAGTGAGAGAATAGATATCTTTGAAAGTTTAAAACAGGTTATACAATTTTGTTTTCTGGTATATGGGAATTTAAAACAGTCTTCATAAATATCATAACAATATTTTCAAATTAAATATGGTCAATGTATATACACTACATAGCAAGATATAGTTATTATTTAAAATTAAAAACTTTCATTAAATAAAATAAATATTATCAGAGAATTGGAAATTATATTTTAAATGCTGAAAATATTTTAAAAATGCAGTTACAAATTTATCTGTTCATTATTCCTGTTTGAATTTCTGGATGAAGAATTATCATTATTTACATTCAGGCTATTGTCCTCATCTTTGTTGTTTTTATCCCAAGATTTCAATCCATTGTTTCCTTTGGCTTTCATCAGGTACTTGCCAATCCTAGTAACTTTCAGGGAATTTTGAACTGAGTCTTATTTAATGTGTATTGCAAAGCTTGAAACATTAGAGATCTATTCTTATGTGCCATGTCTCTTCAAAATGTGGGTGATTATAGCTCTCCACTACTTCCTATCTTGTATAGTCTAAGCAATATTTGTCCTCTCAGTCCTTGTTCTGCATCCATTTACACAAGATTGTTCACTGGATTCCTGGCTGTTTTCCTTTTTGCCTTCAATAGTTTTCTAGAATTTTAAATTTAAAAAAAAAATTTGTGTTGTTAAATAAAATAACAGCAAGATTTCAATCTACCCAAACAGTACATTCTAAAAAAAAAAAAAAATTAGAAATGAAATAAATCAAATTTGGAGAACAGTTTTTCTGCCAATTCTAAGTGCATTTAATGTGATATTTTGAGAGAAAAATTTCAATGTTTTAAAAATATCTTTTGAATTTGCTGTTAATCTGAAAATTCTGATGACCAACACAGTGAATGGAAATTAAAACACCATCTTTTGATTTAATATTTTAAAATTTTAAAATCTGGCTATATATATATATATATATATATATATATATATATATATATATATATAGCATTATCAAAATATAACTTTATAATTCAGATTTAGTCATTTCATTTAATATGTTGTGGGGACACCTTCATTGATCGCTAGTATTCTTTATTATCATTAATGCCTTCTACCCAGACAATTGTGAGTATGAAGAAATCTAACAGTAGAGATTTATTTCTTTGCATAAAGCTTATTTTATTCTGAGTGAAATTCTTATTCAGCTCTTTAATCTGTCATTTTGACTGAATATTAGTATTTATCTTAAAAACATTGAAATGATAATCAAAACATTAATGATTAAAATTAGACCAGATTTATATGCATACTAATTTCTTTTTCATAACTGATTATTACAAGATAAAGAAAAGTTATCATTTCAACTCACTTCCCAAAACCTAACCAAGTAACAATGTGTGAAATTATTTTTGAAGTGTATCTTGGTTGGGATGAGAACAGTTCAGCGTTCCTTCATATTAATTATTTATCAGACATTTAACTGTTTAAATTAAGTAAAATAATTTCAATTTTGAGAGGGAAAATTTTTCCATAACGAGGAAATGCTACAAAAACTGGGGCTCATTCTTGTGTAATTTCAGTTGTTAATCAAAATAGTGATTTACTTATTTGTTGAATTCAGGTAATTTTGGATGTTCACAAAGTTCTGATCAAATATTTTGTTTTTTCCTTCTGTCTAGTTCAAGAAACATGATGAAAAGTAGGTCATCTGCTTGTTTTCTTCTGGAAGCTAAAATATATTTACTTTTATTTGTATGCAAGGAATCTCATATTTACCTTAACTTTGTGTATAGATTTGGTTGTCTATCACTCTTGTTACTGACAACAACGTATTTGATGGTGATAACATCTTTATATGCTAGCCCTTTCTCATTTGTAGTCAAATAGAAATAAAAGATAATTGTATTTAGTTATGAAGTTGCTGTTTAAATACAATTCTCACAAACAAGGCATTGTATATAAATGACAAGAGCATATAGATATAGTGTGTGTGAGATCAGAGTTAAGTTCACAAAAGAGAAAACAAAACCAAGTATGCTGTGAAGGTATAAATGTAACAAAGAGAGAGTAGTGAGATATAGTGAGTGTGCTAGGAGTAAAGAATAGGTTCAAGAATGATAACAATATTTACTATGTATATTAACAGGTAAATATTAAGCCTAATAAATGACTTGCTAGCAGTTTAAAAAAAGCAAGTATATTCTTCTTTTATTTGCTGTGTCCTTTCAGGATGCAGGCAATCTTGGCTCTCCATAATTTTTTTTCCTTTTCAGCTCATAATATTTTGTCCTTTTATCTCTCGTAATCTCTGCTCTGCCAACCATTTGCACATGTCTATTAGGGAGGTTAGAGCCTGTTTTTCACTGCCGCTCTTTCCTTCAGTATGTCCTGTGAGTGTCAAATATTCTAACCCTTCTTTCCTCTTTATGTATCCTGGAAAATCTAACTGTTTGTTTCTGATTTTAAGTATAAGTGTCCTGTGTTTATTTATTTATTACTAACTCCATTTCATCTAATATTTGAGCAAAGATTTTTACTATTATATTTATGAGTTCATGAAATTGTCAATAAACAATATACTCTTTATATCCAATAGGTTTTTCAAAACAAAGTACATTTATAGAGGCATGAGGGAAAAAAGTCCTATAACTTGGATTACTTATAGAATTTAATAATTGGTTATTTTCCAATTAAGATGAAAAACTTAAATCTTCATGAAAAAATTCTAATTCATATAACTGATTCTCAAAAGTTCAGTATTTTTCAGGGCCATTTTGATGTGAAGAAAGAATTGTACAGAAGCATAAAGTTTAATTTATAATCATTGTCATTATATAGTTTCCATTCATTTAGCCTGCATTGCTTGTCAAGGATTCAGTGTTGATTTTATTGTCTAAAACTTGTCTCATGGAAATCATTAGACACACTTCTATAAAAAAAAAATCCTAAAAATGTTATGCTTTAGATATATTGCCTTCTGATTCTAATGTACACGTATAATGCTCTAGCCAGTCGTCCAAGACTTCCAACACTACAGCTGGTTGTTGAAGTGACCGCTTCAATCCAGAGTTAACCTTATCCCATGTTGAGATTTAAGTTTGATCATAAAGCAGCTAAGATCAAATCATTGCAGGAATTTTTGTGTTGGGCTGGCCCAAGTAGGGTGATGACATACAGGAAAAAATAACACTCAAATAAATTGAACAAAAGTAAATACTGTTTTTATATCAGTCCTCTGTACAATAATTGGTTTATATCAGAGTTCACATGCAATTAATTTTCAGCCCAACCTGTGTCTAAATCAGAAGTGATATTATATTATTGTTGACCTGGCAAAATCTGGTTTGCTGTTGTTGGTAAGGTTTGGCACAAGGCTGAAGTCAAGGCTTTTGTTGGCAGATAATCCCGTGGGCCTCTCTCCTGTTTCTGGTCTCATCTCCATCTCTTCTGCCTCTTCCCTCTTCTGCAATTCGTCTCACACATTTGTATTTATAGACATTTGCCCAAACTGGCAAAGTAAGAGAATTCAATAATTTTGGGGAATCCCCTTCTTCCACTCTCATGTCATTACCTCTCACTAAATCTCCTCAGTGAGCATGGATGGTTTATCAACCCACTCCTGGTATTTCAACTCAACTTTCGATCAGGGCAATCAACTCCAAATTTGTTGTTTATGATAAATGAAATTTTCTCTTTAGAGTTTTCATTTTCAGCTGGCTGTCAATCAACATTACCCCCAAGTCTGAGTCACTTTTCCATTGTTCAAACTGCTTGACATACAATTCAAGTTGTTTATGCATGAATTAAATCCTCAATTGTTCCCATGGATTTTTGTATTAACCCTTCTCGTTTCAATGTCTCACAGTACATAAAATTTTCTTATGTTTTAACAAAACTTTCTTCCGTTTTACCACAGCAACAACAAATAGTATCACACTATTATTCTGGATATAGTGTATAACGGAGACATCTTACTTGCTGGTTGGCAATAAAAGGCAAGACAGACCCAGATTTGCAGAACTGGATTTTCTACAAGGGCAGCACTATTTGTTTGTTGAAATCAATAAGCTTAAACATTGGGGTATTTTTTTTTATTCTTTAAAAACATTTTTAATAATGAAGCACAGATATTTCATATTGATTCCAATTTCCAATCTGTTTTATATCAAGTGCATCAAGCATTCAGCATATCACCTGCCATTTACTAAACAATTTCATAAATGAAATTCTAGCACTTATAAGTGAAGTGTTATTATTAGCCTTGCTTCCATTGCCCTCCCAACTCCTAACATAGTTGATAATCTTTGATCAGATTCTATATATCCTTGTTCATGTAAATAAATAGAGAAAACTAAAAAAACATAAATATTGAAAATATAAATGATTTTTTTAAATGTACAAATTGTATGGCCCTTTTTATGAAGGGTTATTTAGCACTTTACACTTTGCGATATTCACTACTGAAACAAGGCTTTTTTTCAAACATTACTCACCATTCTTAAG